GGGTTGTGGGGTTTTCTGGGCATGCGAAGAGATGTTTCGAGCCGTGAGAGGTCTCTCCGCTTGCCGGACATTCGTTCGGCACATCCGCATTTAGCCTACTCAGGTAGGAGTTTAGCCTGCTGCAGTAGCCAGAGCGAAGTTGGGCTATTGTTTTCTGGTCTCCCGAGGCAGATGGAGCTCCGTCGCGTCAATGTCCGGTGTTTGTGTGCCTAGAACGGCATTCACAGGTCTTGAGTCTCATAACTCGAGACTGCGTCCCTGTGAATGCCGTTCAGGGCCTGTCTGTGAGCTGACGGGTCCAGAGGCTGCTTAGTGAATCTCTGGACTTCGTCCGTCAGTTCATATAGATGCCTCCTGACATGCCTCAGCGAGGGCTCCTCTGCAAGCAGCTGTCTGTTTGGGTGGCCACAACTGTGGCTCCCAACCAGGAACTGCTTGCAGAGCATCGTGTTGTGCTCCCAGGTGTTTTCGTTTGACACCCACATTGCTGTAACATTTTGTTTAACTTGTTAATTAATCGATTTTAACTTTTTAAAGAGGTGGCAACTCTCTTCAAGAAAATATTTTACATATATGTTAAGCCAGGATATAAACTATCTGTATTCCAAATTTAATTAAAATAAGTCCAAACGTTTTAGCGTGAAGGGGCAACAAACATACTCACTCACAAACTTTGACATTTATAATGTAAGTATTTACATAGGATTAGTGGAATTTTACTTAAATAAATCAACCTGTTGTAGTAATGTACACATCATTCATTACATTATTTCGATGTATTTTTTTTTCGTCATTTTTATTTTTGACATTTTTCTTTTCGACAATTTTTTTCTCGACATTCGTCATTTTCTATTTATTTTTTTCGACAATTTTTTTCGGTGTTCTTAGTTTCGACGTTTTAAATTTCGACATATCGTACCAGACCCAAAAGAATTTTCAAAGAGAACAATTTCGCTCAAAGACTATACCAACTCAAAAAACCATGAAAAACTGATTTAAAGTTTAAAATTTACCAGGAACAGATAATAATCCTTATTTTTTAAATTTTAACCAAAAAAATCAAGATGTAATCGTCGTAAGAGAATTTTAACTATAGGCACTCACGTATTTGTGTTCGTACGTCTAACTGAACTTTACATTATCTGATAAGTCCAAAAATGTTCAAAATTTCAGTTGATCGCGTCTATATCTATGGCTCCTTAAATTTTATACAATAATCATTATTTTTAAGAAGAAAAATAAAACTCAATAATCATAATATAATCGTTATTCGTGATCGAAAAAGGAAAAATGAAATAATAGCTATTTATTTATATAGGATTTTTTTTTGTGGAGGGTGGTGCGCGTTTTCTTTCATATAAAGCATGATCAAAATCTTTTTATATGAAATTCCATAAATTCTAAATACATACAGATGCGTGCAACTAATTAGCAACGAAATTCAAAACGATATTGCTTGCAAATTATGTTTATTTATTTATTTTTAATAATTTTCATTTAAAATATAATTCAATCTATAACAGAAACCACAATAACAAAAGTTGCAAAGCTAGCACAAATTGCAAAAAAATTAATCAAACTTAAAAAAATTGTCATCAAAATTTCAAAATTTTTAATTAGAATATATAGAAAATGTTGGGTATGCAGTTTTGTAGCCCATTCAATTTTAGTATAATAAAGTGGAAGTTTGAAGTCGCTAAAAATTACCGTTGATTTTTAACATTTTTTTTGTCGAGGGTGTTGCGGATTTTTTCCATGTAAAAAAAAATTTTGATCATGTGTTATATGGAAGAAAATGCGCAACACCCTCCACAAAAAAAATTCTAAAAAATCAACGGTAATGTTTACCGACCTGAAACTTGCACTTTATTATACTAAAATCGAATGGGCTGCAAAACTGCATACCCGAAAATTTTCTAAATAGTCTAATTAAAAATTTTGATATTTTGATGACAATTTTTTGAAGTTTGATTAATTTTTTTGCTATTTGTGCAAGCTTTGCAACTTTTGTTATTGTGGTTTCTGATATAGATTGAATTATATTTTAAATGAAAATTATTAAAAATAAATAAATAAACATAATTTGCAAGCAATATCGTTTTGAATTTCGTTGCTAATTAGTTGCACGCATCTGTACATTATAGAGGGCTGCATGAATTCATTCAAACCGGCTTATGAATTATTTATATACAAAACGAATTAATGATTTTGGCTTAAATTTTTTTGAACTTGAGTGAATACCTGTTCTGATATTTAGAAACATACATATTGTCACCTGAAATGCAAAATAACGTAACAACATTGTCCCTGAAATGAAAAAGTCGTGACTAATTTTTTTTTTTATAAAACGATGTGAGGGGGTTGTGATTCGATGAAATCCATCATAGCAATCAAAAAGTTAATTTTTAATTTTTTATAAGTTACGACTTTTTGCATTTCAGTGACGATGTTGTTACGTTATTTTGCATTTCAGGTGACGATATGTATGCTTGTGTGTATTGCTGCGCTCCTATTACAATACGAACAAATTTGAAGAAAAAAACTTTAACCGAAATGCGTTTGAATGATTTAAATGTTTTTTACTCATTCATTCACATTCTTCCATTTGAAGGTAGAAAATTTTAAAACAAAATGTATATTCATAACTTACAAAATTCCAAACGCTGAGTGTTTTGTCTGTGAAGTAGAATATTCAAATCTGCTGCACTCTATTTGATTAGAAGTTTGAATGAATTCATGCAACGTTTTAATACATAATAATTTTAAAATTTTGTTGAAAATTGTTTGAATTTTTGTGAACTTTGTATCTACACATGAGGGGAAGGGAAGATCTACCTATCTCGGCAGGCAGTTCGAAAACGTCCTATCTCAGAAAACTTTTCAAAAACGCCTTATTACAAAATTTGATAGAAAGAAAGCCTATCTCAGAAACGTTTCACCCTATTTAGCTGCCGATTCAAAAATGCCCTGTCTCAACATATTTTCATTTGAGATAGGGCGTTCTTGAAAAGTTTCCTGAGATATGGCGTTTTTCAATCAAATTCTAAAATAGGCCGATCTTCCACTCGATATCAAGTGTGAAACTTTGATTTATATGGTTTATATTATAGAATGAAGTATTTTTTCATAAATAATTAATGAAACAATTTTCCATGAAAATAATTGTGAATATTATATTAGAACAAGCTGTACACTAACATTTGACACTGCATAGTCAGTGTAAGTTCATATTAGGGCTGGGACTATACGTACATTCGAATATCCAGTTAATAACCGTGTATTTGGTTGTTGATGGAAACAGTATTATTTCCCTATGGACGTTTCCTTGGCAGAGACGGCATGAGGTTTGGGAGTTTGCCTCGGACGACAAATATATCTTCACGTGTTCTTAAAAAATTAAGAGTGTGAAAAACTACATAATCATAGGTAATTTTCAATCAAATTTTTCTACTTACGGTTCGAGTTAAACAAAATATTAATTTGAAATTAGTCAATACGACCCGAGGACCCGTTTCTTGTATTGAATCCTACGGCACCCTAAAACTGTAAAGGGCCATACGACCCAATATAACAATCTAGAGGCAATGTGGAAGCCATACTCTTAATACCCAGCAACCCTGCAAAAAATTTTTTCAGTGTTCTGAATTGTAGAGAAATTTTAAAGAATTCGTAAAGATTTCACCCGATTTTTTGCCGAATTTTCTAAAATGAAATAAACTGTGCACACTTCGATTCGGAAGAAAATCGGCAAAGCAAAGAAAATAAGGCTGCAATGTGAAGAATTCAACGAATTTTCTTTATTTTTCGTACAGAAATTTCTTTACGAGTTCGTGTCAACCAGTTCATAAAATTTTCTTTCAAGATTCGCAAAAAAAAAATCCAGAAATAAGATACTCCTAAAGATTTCTTTAAGATTTGGGGAACTTCGATGTGCAGGGCATATACCAAGATTTCCATGAAATGGTAACCCTGATAGGAAATAAAACAAACAAAACGAATTGTAGAAGGGCAAAAGACAAACAATTCAAAATGTAGGAGGAAGTGGAACTGAAGCCACTTACATATAAACCTATCAGACAATGCAATTTGGTATATGTAGCTGCTGTTGTAAGATCGCTGGCCGTTGCTGATGGTTCTTCCGAAGCGAACTCCATTGCACAAAGGGGAAACGTATTGGTATTGAAACACGACGACGCGCATTAGTCACCATCCACATTTCACATACAGGCAAACACGTATTCTTGCTCGCAGTCCGTCCACCAACCCATTCATCCACTATTGTATACTTCTCTCTTCCAAGTGGCGCGTTTTCATAGCCGTCTAGCTACGAATGTTTTTTATGTTGTTTTGTCTGTGACAGGGGCCATCTATGTCATTATTCTAATATGTACATTCGTACAACTGAGAATAAAATATAACAAAGCATGTACCACAGCAAAACCGGGGTGCAATGCTAGTGCCGAGACTGTGACGTCTACGTAGCTTGTATGCAAAATATTAAAAACTTTTTACTTCATAATTTGCAACATATTCATGATAGAGAAAAGGTACTTAGAATTTATTAAGCTTTTGCTTCCTGGCCAATTCCCAGACTTATCTACACATATTTGTGTATGCATGTATGCAGAAAGGAATATGTAGACTCCAATTTAGATGATAAACCAATATGTTGACTCCAATTTAGATGTTAAACCAAGTGTATATTTTGTGGTTACAAAAACAACTATCAGAAGATTTTGGTAACAGTTTTTAATGTATAATAAGCCAATAGATATTTTTCCCGTATTATAGATACACGATTTTCACAAAGCATGTACATATGTATATACGTAATGAAAACAAAAAATAAAGTCTTCTTCCCAGATACATGCATATGTATATACCGACACACTGGAATTTGCTTCCGGCTTAGTTTGATGCACAATAAAATTTATTTTCACATACTACAGATACGTTCAACCATAATATTTATATTACACTAAATGTATAGATTGACAAACCTGAGAACTTCAATACGACCATGTCAACGTATATATTTCACTTCTAGGGAAGATGGCTATAGGGCAGCCACCTTTGGCTACAATTAGAAATGTAAGTAATAAACGTGTATCGCGCCAGCAATGCCTACCATCCGCTTGTATTCAGCAGTTGTTTGAGTTGGAACAGACGAAGTAGCACACAAGGCAGGGCGATTATTACTCGCGTCGCTTTTAGCGAATTCTCTCGTCTACTTTGGTTGTATGACGCAAAGACGAAGAATACTAGAACAAAATTTTTTTTTTTTATAGTCAGCACTTTTTAACTGCTCAATCCAACGATTTTTAGTTGTGTCTTAAAGCGACATAAATGTCGCAATTTCAAACACGTGTTCCTTCTATTTTTAACCTTTTCACTTTAACTTAAATTTAATTTACAAAATTACTTTAAAATAGTGCCCACGCGCGTCAAACTGTGATATTATATTGGATTTAATTGCAACAGCTACTAAACAAAAACTGAAAGAGGAATAGAACCGAAACAGCCAAGCAGCGCCATTATACCGAAATATTCAGCGTTGTATTTACTTCAAATAGAGTTGCCTTTGCTAAAGTTCATAGCGTGCCATATTTCCATAGGCTTGAAATGGAAGAATGATTGAATACAAGATTTCTCGGTAAAAGTGCACTTTACGGGAACCAGGCGTCCAATTCCTTTTTGCGTAGGCGGCCTTCGGCCGCACTTAGGGATTATAACCCTCAGGCAGTAGAATTCTCCTCTCTGTGTTGCCAAAAAACGGGGGCTGCACACCTTTTGCAGTGAACAACTTTCATTTACTCCGGGAAAGTTTTCCAAAACGGATCCAGGCTTTGAAAAAAAAAATATTAAGGAGTATAGAGGAGCATTTTCCTATGCTAGATCTGAAGACCCCACCCTCCGGAGGCTTATAGTTTTAAAGTAATTCGCATTTAAAGTTGCAAAAAATACCGAATTTAACCTCACCTTTTGCTTTGTACACCAATTGAAGTGAAATGTCAGTGCTGCCATACATATGAAAAAATGCCTCAAAAACACAAAACGGAAGCAATAAAAAATTGCAGATAATGATCGCGCGATATTTAATAAAAAAATTTAATTATTTATTGGTCGATTTTTGATTAAAAAGTTGCATAATTTATCGAAGTATCGATTTTATAATAAAAAGCGATGTTTTATTAAAAATGTTCATTATTCATCGAAGTATCGATTTTTAGAATATAAAGCGCCGCAGGCGAAAATTTTTAATAAAAAATCGCGCGATTTTTAATTAAAAATTTTCATTATTTATCGGAAGTATCGATTTTTAGAATATAAAGCGCCGCAGGCGAAAATTTTGTAATAAAAAATCGCGCGATTTTTAATTAAAAACTTTCATTATTTATGGAAGTATCGATTTTTAGAATATAAAGCGCCGCAGGCGAAAATTTAAAAAAAAAAACGCGCGATTTTTAATTAAAAATTTTCATTATTTATGGAAGTATCGATTTTTAGAATATAAATCGCCGCGGAATTTTTATAATACCCGATTTTATTAAAATTTTTCGATATATATGGAACTATATTAATATATGGTTACTGGTTGCTTCTGCATGCGAAGAAATAAGAAGAGAATAAAAGAAATACCGTTGGAATACGGTTGCCATAAAAATATGACGATTTTACGCACAACTCCTTTTTGTCTTGGCCGCGTTTTAATAAAATCCTTTAATAGTGGCGTATTTACTTTTAAAACGTATGGCAGCACATATTTGCTCTTACTGTCGGCCATTGTTATTTCTGTTTGTTTGTGAAAAGTGGTAAAACGTGAACACAAATTTATAAACGCGTTTTACTTAATTAATTGGTGAATTATATATAATAAAAGCATAAAATACGCATGTGAGCATTGAAAATATAATATGTAACACAAAATATAAGTGATAAGTGGCATATTTTACAAAATTTAGGGGGTGATAGTGGACATTATTTAACAACAAATTGCTAAAATACTATTAGCAATTATATTGTGAGAGTGAACAATTCATGTTGAGGAGGCCTCCCCCAACATCCTCACCAAGTTTCATGACGAAAATCCTTATACTTTCGCTGAAATTTCGATTGGTTCCGTTTTGGAAAGCCCTCCCTTTACTCCTTTCATTTGCATCAAATTCAACAAAACATGGTGCGAAAAGTGCAAGTGTTTTTTGCGAATAAAAATGGGGGCTGCACACCTTTTGCAGAGAACAACTTTCATTTACTCCTTTTATTTGCATCAAATTCAGCAAAACATGGTGCGAAAAGTGCAAGTGTTTTTTGCGAATAACTCTTAAATTAATTAAAAATCTTAATCCCCCCCGGATCGTTATTGTTCGATTGATACCACTCTCGATTTGCCCCGTCCATTTTGACCTGATTCCCGTAAAGTGCACAACTACCGATTTCTCATTCTGGCGGCGATGACATATCTCAAGTAAAGCCCAAAATACAATAGTTGAATTCCAGCAGGAGTACGAATTAGCCACGGGTAATAGCGCAATTTTTATGGCGCTAGCTCAATAACGCCGGCGTCAACTGTGGTGTCAGCACACTAACTCAGCGCAATAGGACAGTGTAGGTACTGATTTCAACACGGCGCCATCTGAGTGTCATCAGATTACCCCTAGTAGCGTCTTACCTATTATTTCTTCAATTTTCGGCGCTGAGCAACGCTTGTACCGCCAACCGAATTTAGCTGCTAAGAATGCAGTAAATGCCACTATATTCTCATAATTCTTGAGTAAAAGCTTTAAATTTGCCAAGATACATAAGTTTCTGCCGTTCTCACCACTCAAAAGCAAAGAAAAAGTGCCTCTAATTTATCAAAGAATTAAGGCGAATTGTGTGTATGTCTCATGTGTTTCTTGGTGTTAATGGCGCTGGCGCTTTTAATATATTGGTGTTGGCGCAGCAGCTGCAGCTACGGTGTTGACGCAATTGCGCCGCCCGGCGCAGTGTTATCCATGCCTAGCACGAATAGCAGGAACCAGGAAGCTTTTCCCGCACCACACCTTCTTTATTCCTTTTTTGGCACTGCAACCGCCCAACGATTTTGGCCGAGTCCAGCAAAGCACGCCAGTCGTTTCTCTTCTGTGCCAACTGACACCAATTGGAAACGCCAAGTGAAGCCAAGTCCTCCACCTGACCTTTCCATCGCAGTGGGGCCTCCCTCTTCCTCTGCTACCACCAGCGGGTTCCGAATTGAGTACTTTCAGAGCTGGAGCGTCGGTGTCCATAATAGGGCATTCGCACGCGGCGATTTTACAGGCAACAAAAGTTGAATGCAAAGTTGAATGAGAAGTTGAAAGTGAAAAAGTTGCCATCCCTATTCAGACGAGGAGATTTTCTATTCAACACGAATTGTTATTTACAATATTGAAAATGAATTTAAATCGCAAAATTTTATCAATTGGCGTAAATTTGGTAAGCCAAGCGTTGGTAGAAGTGCTTTTAGCGAAGCTGAAAGATAAAATAAAAGTAAAAAAGTAAAAAAGAAAAAAAGTATGTATACGGAATGTAAACAAACACAGGGTTGCAAGGAAAAAAAGTTGAACGAGCTCAAAGTTGGCTGGCGACCAACTTTGTTGAAAGCCATTAGTTGAAAGGCCGTTCGGACGAACGCAAGTAAAGCCCAAAATACAATAACGCAGTGGCAGTGGCAGTTTTCCGAAATCAACTGTTTTTTATAAAGTGTGGTGTCCAATGAAGCGACTCACAATACAGCAGTGGCAGCTAGCAGTACTTCTCAGTTTAGCCCAAATTCTAAATAAATTGCCACTACCTTCATCGCAGCAAAATTCGCATGTTAAATTTGACATAAATGAAAAGCAGCCAACTTCTGTTTATGTCACTGAAGCCTAAAAGACAACAACAAAAGTGTAAACAAACAAAAGGAAATGTCAAAAAATGCAGTAACTGCCAACGCCGTATTGTGTTTGCCCTTTCGACTATTTTGGGTAAATTTTCGGATGACACGCTTAAGTGCACCACCATGATTCAATAATAGGCGCGTTCGTTTAAAATCTCCAATAAAAAACATCCAACTGCCAAATTCCGGCGAAATGTCATCTGTTCTCCCACAAGAGAAAAATATCCAAAATAGTATGCGAACCGAAAATTTGCAGAAACTTGCAAGTTAGACGAACAGCTGATATAATTTTTGTTTACATTCAAAAGTGTAAAATTTAAAACGTACGAAAAGTCATCACGAAGTTCTATACTGACCCAGTTTATTGATTAAACAAATAACTACTTATTTCTTACAAGTTTAAATAGTCGCATTTTTTAATTTTTAACTTCCAAACCATCAAATTCAATTTTGTGATTTACGTAAATGCCAACCAGCTGTTTTTGATCAGCTGTTTTCCTGTTGGCAAAAATTTTTCCAGCAGAAACCATCAGCTTCCCCTCAAAATGAAATGTCACTTTGCTCTCTCAATTTCCCCTACTTTGCAAGTTTTTTGCGTACGCGAACGCAAAAACTTGTAAGTTTTGGTTAAACATGACCAATTAATAGCTACGCGAACGCAACTAATCCAAGGTTCGATAAACTGACAGTTGTCTCCCTCGCACCGCTCCCTTAGCAGTGGCACCGTGTTGCTTCTTCGCAAATTTACTTGGAAAAAGTGTAGCTTTGCTGTGAAATAGAAGTATAAGCTTTTGTGCAATATGTTTATTTGTATATGCATATGAAGCACATTTAACTGATGAAAACACAAATTGTTTTTAAATTGGATGTTTACTTACCTCTCATAGTAGTTTAATTTTAATTTTGAGTCCTTTTGCAGTTTTTATACATCTAAATAACACATAAATTACATAATTCACGTAGATATATTAATATTTCGATCAATATTTCGTTTAAAATGCCAGATTTCCTGCAATTACAATAGAATTTACAAAAGGAATTTCACTACCTATTGCCTATTTGCGACTTTTCTTACTACCATTTTCGCAATAAGGGATTGCATTCTTGCCCTTTCTCTGTCCTTCGTAAATGCAACCTTTTGTAAGGGAGTGTCAAACCACAGCTGTCAATAATTTTCTAACCTTGTATTATTGAATCATGGTGCACCACTACCTGAATTATTTTGATATTCAATTTTTAAATTAAAATGAGGTCGAAATACATGAAGTGGGCCACTTAATAACCTTCTCTTTCCGATAACCAAGATAGTTACTTACTTGAGTAGACGTCCAGGAAATATCAGAGACCATAACGACTATAGGAAGTAAAATTAAATATTGCTGTATAATTATTACTGAACAATGGAAAGGTTGTTTTCGTCTCCTGAGACGGAAATCGTTGGAAAAAACTTTTTCATCTTCTCCTTAATTAACTGGGACTTTTATTTTTTTCGTCTCACGAAACGATTATTTTACGATGGAAATTATTTCCGTCTTCTAATAATAATTATACAGGATTCTTATACTTTTTTCGTCTCGTGGGACGCTTATTTCGAGGTTGAAATGATTTACGTCTTCTCATAATAATTATTTGGGACTTTTATTTGTTTTCATCCACCTGGACGTATATTTCAAGACGGAAATTATCTACGTCTTTTCTTAATAATTATATGGGACTCTTATTGAAATGAGACTTAATTAACGAGATTAATTGAGTTCGGATATTTAACGCGTTAAGGCCCAATTTCAGATGGTCTACTTAAGTCGAGATTGTTGATTAACTACCACTATTCATTTTCAGGTCATAAGCGCCACGGAGGCAATCAAATAAATACCTCAAGCATTGCGTATGTGTGATTGAGGTTCGCTCGTGTCTTGCCCGCAAACGTTCAAATATACGCGTCAATCACCACTTTGCGTTGTGAATACGCAGCGTGAGGTTGTTAGCATGTTATCTTCTGCTGAGTATTTGTTGTTAACTATGTTATGGGATAATTTTACGTTATATGCTATAAATTAATATTTAGTACATTTTATAAAGCTTGTAAGCATTGATAATGAGCAATCAAAGGTAACACAATTTATTTTTCTTGTCCGCGCACTTGCTCACAGGACGACCAATAGG